CCTCAAAATGTAATTAAGCACAGTAGTTAAGAAAATGTACTTTGTTATATTTGATAGTAATCCAGATAAAACTCAGATGTTTTGGGTATAAAGTGGTTCACGTTAAGTGTGATCTTGTGTCTGAGTCATTCTGCAGATAAAGACAACAACACGGAGAATCAATAGTCTCTGTTGGATCATAAACACAGCACGGAGGCTAATGACGCATTCAAGGTCATCTGTCAAACTGTGATAAGGAGAGAACATCTCTGTTGATCCCGTTTGAAGACGGAGATTATCAGGAGATAATGATGATCCTGCTGCACACATAATGTAGCAGTATAACAGTGAAATATTGAAAACATCCATATGGCGACAGGTAATGCTGAGAGTGAGTGAGGCATCTTTATTCAATTTTTCTTTCCTAGTATGTAATATTCATGTATTCATATATTCATGTATTATTCACCTGGGCTGCAGACAGAACCAGAACTTTAGTTAAAAACACTTTTGTAACTCTCAAATGCTGTCAATAGTCATTTATACACGGATCAGTTGAGTACTCAATTCTGATTGGTCAACTTTGACCTTGCAGAGGTTGTTAATTCTAACAGTGTTGCTAAGGAGATGAGACCGTTGCTAAGGAGAACAGACCATTGCTACGGAGAACAGACCGTTGCTAAGGAGAACAGTCTGATGCTAAGGAGAACAGACCGTTGTTAAGGAAAGCAGACCGTTGTTAAGGAGAACAGACCAATGTTAAAGAGAACAGACCGTTGTTAAGGAAAGCAGACCGTTGTTGAGGAGAACAGACCAATGTTAAGGAGAACAGACCGTTGTTAAGGAAAGCAGACCGTTGTTAAGGAGAACAGACCAATGTTAAAGAGAACAGACCGTTGTTAAGGAAAGCAGACCGTTGTTGAGGAGAACAGACCAATGTTAAAGAGAACAGACCGTTGTTAAGGAGAACATACAATTTCCAAGGAGAACAGACCGTTGCTAAGGAAAGCAGACCGTTGCTAATGTAACTTAACCTACAATTTCTGTCTAATGTCCTTTGTTTCCTTGAATCTTTTCTTAGTTTCATTATTTACTCCTTATGCAGGAGGATTAAAGCCACATGGGAATTTGTTTTCTCGTTGTGAGAATTATGAAAACATTCTGGCTTGAATCTCCAAAATTCCTAAAATAAAGTGAGAACAAAATCAGAAAAAGGCCGGATTATTTCTACTCAATTTAGTTTTTTCTGACATTCTGAAAACAAACAGAAATCGGTATTGGGGAGAAATCAAAATACATTTCACGAGGCCCTAATCCTCTTCCGTAATTCTCTATTCATCTCAAATATGTCTGTGTTTGTGCTGCTGAAACAACCTGAATTTCCTGTCTGGAGATCAAAAAGGGTTTTTTTTTTTTATCCTAAATGAATGCGAAAAATATGCAGGAAGATTTGAGTTTCATTAGATGGAGTGGAAACAGATCCAAACACGTCCGCCTGTCATTCACCACTTTGACTTTCCCAGCACTCAAAGACGAGCGTTTTTCTGCCAAAGTATCTTCCAGAGGAGACGGAATTATCAGCCGCAAACACGAGCCACGAGATGGATCCCAGTAAATGAAGCGAGCAGCGGACCATCTGTTTCTCTTAATGAAAACTTGTGGAATTATTCCTGCAGAGAACACACCATCATTAGGGTCATTCATCTTGTTCAGATCATCAGGTTTTTCTGCAGGTAGTGAAGTGAAAAGTGTTCTTCCATTCAAAAATAACTCATTGTGCATTGATAACAACTGAATATATTTACATGTATTGCTTTTCCTCAGAAGTATTTTGAGCCAACAAATGAATGCATGTTGTCGTTCATTTGAAGATAAATGGAATTTGGCAAAAACTGAGAGAAATTAAATATATAAATTAGTTAGTTTGAATATCTAAGCTGTATTTGTTGTTCTACTTCAATCAGTTACGAAGATGCAGTCAGACTATTCAAGGTACATTAGACATATCAAAAGTTAAAGGGGCCCTATTCTGTTTTTAGGGGTTTTATTTTCCTGTGTAATTTAGGGTTAGGAAACGCCTCTATTGGACTCCTTTGTTTACTTCCTTAACATATTGACATCACTATGTAACACTCACGCTCCTATTAGCTAGCGCTTCAACACATCGTACGTGATAGGCTAAGGGGCGGGACATCTCTAAGCGGTTGACCAATCACAGCAGAGCCGGCCAGCTAACCAATGAGAGCAGACTGGGCTCTGGTTTCAGACAGATGGTGAAAAGAGGTGCTGCAGCACAGGCAGTATGAAAACAATAAAGAGCTTTTTGAATATTAAATGTAGTAATGTTTGACCAAAACCCAAGGTGTACTAAACATCTTTTAATGCATCTCAGTCTTCATTTACATTTCATAATCCAGGAGTATATACAAGCAAACAGTTTGTATTTGTTCCCACAATGGCGCCTTCAGGGCTCTATAACAGTATAAACACTGATTAGTAATCAGGTTTTTAGGGAAATATTTTTGTGTTTGAGTACATGAATGATTGTTACACTTGCTGCACACATTCAGTCGAGTTCACTGAAACATATTAAAAACTTCCAGTGCAGTCTTCTTATTAACCGTTCTGTTTACATGCCGTGTGTCCTTGAGGTCTAATAAACACGTTGAATGTGTTTCTTTCCTCAGAAAACATTTATTATTTTCATTTCCATTTGCAATGTTCGCATTTATTGTCCCATTGCTGTGATTCTTAGCACGTTACCATAACAACTGTAACCCAACAGAATACTGGGAAAGCATTGTAAAGTCGGTGTGCATGATAAACGTACTGCAGTACTTTCAGATCAGATAAGGTGATTTTTTGTGTGTGTGTGTTAGTTCTGTCTTTCAAGTGCAAAAAGACATGATAAAAGGCGGTTCCAAGTTCTCAACTAATGCAGATGATTGTTAAAGATGGTGTCCAACCATTAATACCAGACACACGATTCATGTCATTTTCTTGTAAAAAATAAATACTCACAAAAAGTGTTGCTCTATCCTGTTTGTGAGTATTTTTGAGTAATTGAGAGTATTTTGTTTCTACTTTCTACTTTTTGTGACTATTTTTATGAGTATTTGTGAGTATTTTCTTTCCATATAGTCTATGGCAACTATTGGTCGAAAACTAAACTAAATTAAAGTAAAATATAATTGGCCAGGATTAGTTATTAGAGTGCTTATGTTATACAAACATTATTATCAGTATGCCTGATTTACTTCCGTATGATGTCTAGAAGAGACATGACCAACGTTTTAGGTGTCAATAATGCACTTTTTACGCTTTGACTACATTTAGCCGCTTTATTGACTACAGATTGAGATTTTGAACACGAAGTACACGTAGGTTACTATGAAACGTACTTGATCCCAAGAGCTAGAAGTAATACAACTTAGATCCACATAAACATTCAATAATAAGTGTGTGTTATTCTAGAAGTGGCTGTGTTTTTTTAACTTTTTGTAATCGCTAACTTTAAAAAGCTTTGGATGGGCCAACAACATCAACTGTATGCCACTGTGAAAGGATTCCATTTTTAACACTTTTAATGTTTTGGGTTGTCCTAGCATCTCCTTTAATCGTTTCAATATAATTTGGCTGTAAAGAAATTACAGTAAATATGTTCAAAAGAAGAATGAAAGATGTCAGCCTTGACTCTATGAATCTCATGAACCTCTCATGAAGTTTTCTTAACCTCTTAAGCCCCACGGACCCATATCCGGGCCCGAAATCGCGTAATGTGCAGGAAACAACGTCTAAGGAACCTTCATATTTAATAAACTATGAATGTTTTGTATCCATATAACGGAAAAAAACTAATTTAACTGATCCTTTTCATTTAAAAAAAAAAAAAAATCAAAATGCTAGCAGTGACCCTCTGAATTAGCCCCGAGTGAAAATTGCTAACCTATTACTGCACCGAAAATCACTCCTAGCACCCTTATTACTTATCCTAGCTGCACATCCAACACATCGTTTATGATCGTAAGGAGACACAGAATCTATTGGTACTCACCTCAACACTCAAAGATTACAAATTCCCGGAGAAAATAACAAAAACCTACATCAAAACATGTGGCACTAGGTAGCCCAAAACGCTAACATGGCTTACCTTGGTCTTCGTCTTGTCAAAACTGGTCTTCAATGGCATTAAAACGATCAAAACGATGGTGTAGTTAATCCATAGCTTAATCCAATGTGTCTGTGTCCCCTTTGAAATGTTCTGATAATCCATAAGCAATAAAACAGCTTTTCCGTTTCCAGAAATCAGAGCAGGGATATTCCTACGCTCTGCAACAAGATTGAATGCACGGAGACACTAGCTTTTTTTTTTTACATGAGTCTATGGGACGATTTCCCTTCGATTCTATTGGCTCTAACGGTCAGAAAGAGATGTCACATGTCAAAATCGAAGAAGGGGGACCAGAGATATGGAAAATCCACCCAAATGGCCCCAGAAGAGGTTTTTTTTGCTAAATCTGTCTAAAAAGGTCAATTATCACTTGTTTTGCATCAATCTTGATACAGGGTACTTATTATATGTTGTACTTTGGATTCCTAAAGCTTTTAGTCTACTAACCCATCATCCAAGGGTAGTTTTCATTATAAGTACAACATATTTTTTGGACGGACACTATAATTTACAGTTTTTTACCATGTTCAATCTGAATTTTCTTTAAAATAAAAAACATCTATATTGATTGTGACTTTTCTACATCCAACTCACAGGTTTATCATTACTTTGAGAAAAAAGATTATTAATTTAACCCTTTTAGAAGGGAAGATATGGTCATTTGTTCTGGGAATGTCATTTTCGAGCCTGAAACCTGAAAAACAGGCTTGGGGCAATAGTTTTCTATCTGTGTTTTGAATTTTTGTTTGACTTTTATGTAATCACCACGACACCAAGTCAAATTCCTCGTACGTGTCAAACTACCTGGTAATAACCTGATTCTGATTCTGATCCTCTGGTTCCTCCTCAGATGTACATCCAGACGGCCACGCTGACAGTGTCGCTCAGCCTCAGCGCCTCCGTCTCTCTGGGAATGCTCTACATGCCGAAGGTCTACATCATCATCCTCCACCCTGAGCAGAACGTCCCGAAACGCAAACGCAGCTTCAAAGCTATCGTCACCGCCGCCACCATGACCAGCAAACTGTCGCACCTGGCACACGAGCGGCCCAACGGAGAGGTGAAGACGGAGCTGTGCGAGGGCGTGGAGGCCAGCGGTGAGTGAATGGGTGGATAGGATTTGTGAAAATCTGATTGGGAGAAATCTGGCATTATGGTTAAATGCAAGTATTTTTTGGTAAGATGCCTGAAAAAGAACTGAAGAGATTTTAACGGTTTCTATTTTTTACAACAATACCCGCCTGGTGTATGTCTGAAGCTCCTATATTTGTTAAAAATGTCGTGTTAATGAAACTACTAGACATCATTATGCCTACAATTAGCCGCCTTTAGCTGAGCGGTGCTGTGGTTCCTTTATATAGTGGTGCAGAAATCCTAAAACCCACAAATTAGTCTGCATTTTAACACTTAAAGTTCACTCGCTTTCAGTCAATGTTTTTTCTGAACGTGTTTTTGGTTGTTAGCCTGAAATAAGGAGCTGTGCGAAGGCGTGGAGGCCAGCGGTGAGTTTATGGGCGGATAGGATTTATGAAAATGTTCCAATGTTGTGTGGTACAGGTAATCGGATTGGGTGAATTCTGGTATTCTGGTTTAATGCTTTAGCACTAGTGACATACAGTATTAAACAATAAGTGAGTAGGTCGGTGAGTTATTTTTGCAAGCCGACCTGGAAGTTAGCATCTCTCTGGTTCCCTGGACAGGAAGTCAATGGGATTTTTCCATTGGATTTCGGATTATTGCTAATGCTGGGCTATACAGTAAGGGAACTACAGCACGGTCACATGACTTCACGTCACGTCCGCTAAGCTAAAAGCGGCTAACGTTGGGCACGATAACGTTTAGTCGTCTCATTTAGACACTTCTTAGAAACCGCCTGTTTTTAAATATTTACTGACATATTTTATGTTTAAAAATAGAAATCTCCATTGACTTAACTTCCGGTTCCCAGATAAGGGAACTAAAATGCTATTTAAAATACACTTTAAATTGTGATTACGATAAAATAATTTTTTTATGACAATATGACTGAAGAGACTTTAATTTGCCGGACTTTTCCGTTCAAAGTACCTGCTAACAGAAACCCTGCCGTAAATCTTCCAAAAAAAGATGTACCTACAGTTAATGCGATATTGCTTCTTTATAATAACGTAGAACCATTTACAATGAAGCGGCAGGTACTGATGAATCAAATAGACTTACGATAGTGAAAACCATTAATTATTTAGTTTGGAAGTAGAAGAAGTGTGTCTGTTCTCTAGTCAATCTTAGAGGTGTAGTCAGCCTCTCTGCAGTAATGAGGCTTTAACAGGAAGTTGACTTGAGTTTGTTTAGACGTCACCTGAGACCAGATCTGATGAAACTGTGTACAGCTCTGAGTTGCACATCAAAGCTCTCGGTCCATCAGCAGAAAAGTGTGAGGTGTCCGGATTGTTTACCCGTCAGAGATGTGCTGACTGAACTGATCTGCTCAATCTAACAAGCAGCCGCTCTCACATCAAGCTTCCCCGTCACAACTTTACACAACAGACAAGTTTCCTGATCCTCTTTCGTCCTGTTCAGTGTGAGGCGAGGAAGTCACAGAGTTTAGGTGCTGAAAAACTACATCTGATGAAACCGACAAACTTGTATGACTAATTTGGTCCAACACATCTCAACAGCTGATGATAATATGAACATTAATGTGAAAATCAGACGACATAGTTAAACTTGCGAGAAACTCAACATAGTTTGTGTCCTATTTGAAACCAATTGTCAACGGTTTACTTATTTATGAACACGTTCATTTACGAACATGTTATTTTACGTAAAAGAGATACCTATTTTAACCCAAACCATATTTGTTTCCTAAATCTAACCAAACTGTTTTGTTATTGAGTATTACATGCGGAGACATCAAGCGCAAAATATCCTTAAAGGTGGTTTGGTTTTTTACCCCTGAACATTACATCCCGTTAAATATGCATGATCCCCAGAGGATAAATCCTATTTTTTTTATGTCAAACTTACCTTTCCTGTAGCTCCACCCATCATACTTTTGTCAAACTATATCAACTAATGTCTGACATGCCAGAAATCCCCCATATTATCCAACAAAAGAACCATTGAAGTTGGGCCAGGACGATACATTTGGTGTTGAGATTCACCTCGAAGTTAACGTCAGATATCAATCGATCTGACAGAAATATGTCCTGATCCTAAAATTAGTCTGGGGCTAAGTGTATGCCCAGCTTTACAGAAACGTCAAACACCCTCATGATGAGTTATTCTAAGAGCCTTACCATTAGTGGAGCGAAAATGGAAATAGGGTGGCGAGACACCTTTTACGAATCGTTAACGCTAATGGACGTTTTGCTTCCTAGCAGATCTGCTCTTTATAATAGTGAGTGAGTCTAGAGTGGTGCAAGAATGAAACCCGTAATGAGTTAGCATTTTAGCACTTCTGGATACACTGGAAGTATGGAAGTCAATGGTTTCTTGAATGTGTTTTTTGGTAAGATGCCTGAAAAAGAACTGAAGAGATCTTCACGGTTTCTATTTTTTACAACAATACCCGACTGGTTTATTTCTGAAGCTCCCACATTTTTCTTTAATTGGCGGTTGCTAACAAGTGTTAATGAAACGACTAAATGTCATCATGCCCAACGTTAGCCGCCTTTAGCTTAGCTGTGGTGACGGGAAGTCATGTGACCGTGCTGTAGTTCCTTTATAGCCCAACATTAGCCTCATTTAGCTTAGCGGTGGTGACGTGAAGTCATGTGACCGTGCTGTAGTTCCTTTATAGCCCAACATTAGCCTCATTTAGCTTAGCGGTGGTGACGTGAAGTCATGTGACCGTGCTGTAGTTCCTTTATAGCCCAACATTAGCCTCATTTAGCTTAGCGGTGGTGACATGAAGTCATGTGACTGTGCTGTAGTTCCTTTATAGCCTAACCAGGGTTTCCGTTAGCCGGTAATTACCGTTTTTTAGCTGATAACATTTAATAAAAACCGGTAAATTCAAAACCTGCCAGTCAAAATGTCTGGTAATAATTAGGAATGCTCCGATCGATTGGCCGCCGATCATTATCGGCCGATATTCACTCTTAATAGTTTGATCTGTGCTCTCTATAAAGGCCGATCAGGAGAGCTGGAGCCTGGATCTGATCGGTATGGACATAAACACGAGTGAAGTGTAACCGGACGCGAGAGAGAGATCAGATCAGCTGCTTAGTCTGACGGAGACACGCAGCTCTGCATGATCACCTGAAGCCCCGCCCACTGTTTAGCGCGCTGCATGAGAAACTGACGGGCTGTCAGGAGAGAGGGAGGGAGAGTGGAAAAGAGAGGATCCGTTTCTCCCATGTTATTATTCAAAGTTAATTTAAACTTTTGAATAATGTACTTCATCTACTACAAGTAGTTTCTTTGAATGTAATAATTATGTTGTTTGTTGTTTGTGGAATCATTTATTGAAAAATGAATCTGAATTTTTCAATCTGTTACGATTATAAACTGAAGCAATATAAAAACGAGCCCCATTAACTGAGTTTTAAACATCTGCATATCAATCAATCAATGTTTATTTATATAGCCCAATATCACAAATGTTACATTTGTCTCAGTGGACTTTACAGTTTGTACAAAATATCAGTATGACAATACGACACCCTCTGTCCTTAGACCCTCACATCGTACAAGGAAACACTTCCGAAGAAAACCCACAGTTTAAAGGGAAAAATGGGAGAAACCTCAGGGAGAGCAACAGAGGAGGGATCCCTCTCCCAGGACGGACAGACGTGCAATAGATGCCGTGTGTAAATTGAAAAGATAATACATTGGCAACATAGGTAGTCCAAATGTTTGGAAATGCATGTATAATAGGAAGATGAATCCACTAGGATATCCATCCAGGACCTATGATCCAGGACCACAGCCACGACTCAAGATCCAGGGCTCGCGATGCAGGACAGAGGAGCGCAGGATCATCCATGACTCCGGATCCCGGCGTATATAGACACCAAAAAGAAAGACATTTGGGGAAGCTGGGTTAATCGGAACATGAGAGTACTATAGACAGAGAGAAGGAAGAAGTAAGATGTCCCCCGACAAACTAAGCCTATATCAGCAAAACTAGGGGCTGAATCTAATCAGCCCTAACTATAAGCTTTATCAAAAAGGAAGGTCTTAAGCGCACTCTTAAAAACGGATAGGGTGTCTGCCGCCCGAACACAAACTGGAAGCTGATTCCACAAATGTGGAGCTTGATAAGAAAAGGCTCTGGCTCCCATTGTACTTTTAGAGACTCTAGGAACAACCAACAACCCTGCATTCTTGGAACGCAATGCCCTAGTAGGACAGCAGGGTATAATGAGTTCTTTAAGGTAAGATGGCGCCTGCCCATTAAGGGCTTTGTAGGCGTCTATCCTGTGTTCTATAGGGAGCCAGTGTAAGGCAGCCAGAACAGGAGTAATGTGGTCCCTTTTCCTAACTCTGGTTAGCATATCTGCTCATAGTCCGGTAATTACCTGCTAACGGAAACTCTGCTACACAATTTTTATTATTATTATTGAAACATGGTAAGTTTCAAATTTGTCCGGTAAAATAAATTCTGTCCGGACATTTGACCGGCGAGAAAAAATCCTAGCGGAAACCCTGAGCCTAACGTTAGCTTTTTCCTTCAGAAATCATAAAGTGGTGTTAATTTGTGGAGATTATCCTGCTGAACAAAACGTGTGAGTATCATAAAATTGTATATTTAGCTATAAGCCAAAATCAAATGGAAAAATCCAAGGCAAGGCAAGTTTATTTATATAGCACTTTTCAACACAAGGCAATTCAAAGTGCTTCCAGGAAAGGGAGCTGATGCAATGCTAACTTCTGGGTTGAACTGCAAAAATATGTCTTCCCTGAAAAACTCTCTATTCATTTGTTGTCTTCCTCTGATCAAAAATAACCCTCTAAACCCAGTCTAACACACAGGGGACAGTAGGTAAGGGAAAATGTCACTTTACTAATCAGTTTGCTTTTCTCTCCTCAGCGCCGCCAGCGAAAACAACCTACGTCAGCTACACCAACCACGCCATGTGAATCAACGACTCCTTCAACTCGTGGACGTCCCGGGACTTTTAAAGAAGCAGATTTCTGTCACCACGAGGTGGCCTCAACACTCCAAGACATCTGTGGTGTTTTTATGTTTACAGACTGCAGGGAACGGGTCTGAACGCCGCCCAAAAACTCGTTAGGATCAAAAGCTGAAAAAGCATCCAAGTTTTCGCCAGGAAGTAAGAAGGAGGGTTACCTGAAAGCCCAAAAAAAAGAAGTACAAAAAAGAAATTGTGGGGACCAAACATAATTGTTGTTATTCTAATTGTCCGTTCAAAAAAAAAAGTGAAAAAACTTGTGGTTGTGAACATTTCTGATTCTTGTCTCCTGTTGTCTCTGTCGACCTGCATTATGAGAAGAGTCCGTCGATGTTTCCTGAAAACTGGACGGTAGCTTTTGGTTGTGAAATGTCTAAATGCCATGGTTGAATTGAAGCATGCCCGTTTTTTATACAAATGATCTATTTATAATAAAGGAATGTTTCACAAGCGGGTGCCATGTTTCGGTCTGTTTAAGGGATGCACAGATTTAAAATAAATATACATTACAGTTTTGAATCACCATTCAGACGTCTGATCAGTGGAAACAGGAACTGCTTCAAGACGATGTTGATTTTGATTGTCAGACTTTTCTCAAGACAAGGTATGTGCAATATTTCATAACAATTCCTTATAACTTGCAAATAAACTCTGCAGGTAATTGTTCAAACTAAATATAAATTAATTACAGTATGACATGTTTTTATAGATTAATCCGAATCAGAAACATTTATTTGTCCCGAAATAAATTGTGTTTTGAGACAGTTGCAAGGTAAATGTAATTACTTACTAATATGTATATAAACATACGGAGATAATATAAGAATTTGGGGTTTGGAAAAATGAAAAGTAAGAATAAAATGTCCAATAAAAGATCAAATTAAATAAATGATATTAACATGAGAAGTTAAAATAAAATGTCAATAAATTAAACATTAAAATAAATGTGTATATATACATAAGAAGGTAAAGAAACATTTCCAATAAAACATAAAATAGCATTAAAATATGTATGTCTTGTATACATAACTATGTGTCCCAGTGTGTCAGGGAACTCACGCAGCGTCAGAAAATAAAACCCTCTCTCTTTTCCTCCGTACCCAAATCTCTAAAAACGGAGCTACAACGGAGCTAATCCAGATTTGCGTCCGATATGACGTAACATCTGAAATGTGGACCCACGGCCCTATCAGAAAGTTGCTGTCAGAAACAATGCCCGACTGTTTTGGACGTAATATGGTCGGTGTTTACATTAGCATCGCTAACACTCAGAGCTAACCTGTACTGGAGAGCATGTGTGTGAAGAAGCAGGAAATAAAAAGGAACTCACCTTGTGGTATAACCGGCAAGAGAGAAAGCCTTTGAGCTCCATACTGTTTCAGAGAGAATCCTTGATAATCCATGATATGGCGTTTCATCACGGCAGTATTTAGTTTAGACAGTAGCTGCCGGGTCCCGCATGAGCTCAGACCCCTCCTCTTTAAAGCTTTATACCCCAAATCAGCACTTTTGAAACAGGAAGTGAAATAGAGGGATATGAGCAAGGCAGGATTAGTACCTCCAGGGGCCCCTGGGCACTGAGCGCTCATGACGCCCCCCCCCCCCCCCCCTAATCAGTGGCGGACTGGGGGAAAAAAGTTGCCCGGGGATTAATTGACAGACAGGCCCCTCTTAATGCGCAGCATCGTATTGTATTTTATTCAAATGATTAGTTCATCCAAATCCAAGGCTCAAGGCTAACATTGCTCGCTAGCTCAACAACATCCTCCGTGACCACCGCCACCGTTCCTTGTGGTTGCTGGCCGATTTCGTAACTTTTTGCTTTTTTGGAAAAGGTATTTATTGTTGGGACATTTTTTAATGCAGCAGCCACTCTCTCTTCTTTTTCTTTCTTTTCGCAGCCCTGCTGGGCGTTTGGCTGCTACCGGCACCATCCATTTGTTCAGCTCACGTGACAAAATGTGACATGTGTGAGGTTGGGGCTGTGATTCGGCTATACACCGCCGCTGCGTAGTATTAAAGTTGAGCGCATACATAGTGAGACCTACAGTACAGAGACGGTTTAGAAAATATATTAATTTCACCCTATAGAAAAGCTGTGTTATTTATGGTGAAGAGTGAGTGTCATTTAAAAGAATGTATGATGAGTGAGGTTGAGCCCGAAAAAGACAAGATAAAAAATAAAAATAAATTGTTTTGTTTTAATCTTGTCACTAAGGGCCCTCTTTGTTCAAGGGCCCCTGGGCACTTGCCCAGGTTGCCCATATGGTTAATCCGGCCTTGGATATGAGGCATGGCTAGAATGGGTGATCTGTTTGGTATTTTGAGCAAAACACTTCATAGACATGTTTTTTATATATTTTTATATATCTGATACCTATGCTATTGCCTACAAATAGCATGATAGGTAAGTAAAAGATAAATGTCCAGTAAAAGATGAAATAAAATACAAATATTTATATAGACCAGAGTTCCCGTTAGCCGGTAATTACCGGACTACGACCGGTAAAATATGCTGAAAACCGGCAAATTTAAATCTCTCCGGTCAAAGTGTCCGGTCAAAATTATTTTCCCTTAGCACAATACCGCATCAGTTGCGCAATTTGCGCCACTTATGTGACAGACAAAAGAGTATGTGACAGACAAGAATAGTCAATTCTAATGTCTAACACGTAATGTGGAGAAAGAGATGTCCTGTGTGGGTTGATTGCGCGTTGATCTGTTGGTAATGCCTCAGGGTTCCGATGGGCATGTAAACAAATGCATAATGCTGCGCTATACTTTGTGGCCTCACCCAGTTGCATAGCGACGCTTATTGTTTAGGTGTCTTTTAATAAGCAGGTAGTCATATCATTAGCTAGAACTAGCTGGATCTGATCGATATGGACATAAACGCGAGTCTAATCTGACGGGAGAGAGAGATCAGCTGCTGCTGACGAGTCGACACCAGCTCTGCATAATCACATGCAGCGGTGAGCGGACAAAACACACACTTCAGGTTAGAATACCACATGTAGCTATTTTTAATTACCTCTCAAACTACCTAAACTAGTTATAGATATGTTTAGTTTTACTGTCGGGTCACTCATTACTGATCCGCGAGCTGCATGATACTGACGGGCTGTCAGGAGAGGGAGAGAGCTCCGTTTATTATTCCCGTGTTATTGTAAATTACTGTTCACTTTTGAATAATGTCGTTAATCTACTATAATTAGTTTGTTTAATATCGAATAATATCAATTTGTTTTAAAGCCCAATAAATAACAAAGAAGACCTTTGACCGGCACTAATGTTGTCCGGAAGATTTCAACTTTAACGGACATGTTGACCGGCGAAAAAATATTCTAACGGGAACTCTGATATAGACATAAGAAGTCAAACTCAAATGTCAAATAAAAGATCAAATATAATCAAAATACTTATATAAAAAAAACAAGTCAAACAAAAAATGTCCAATATTAATTCATATTGTGATATTAACATACAAAGTTAATTATGCACATTGTACTGCATTATGTAACAGCTGATTAATGCTGACATGCTGTTATAGATGCTGCTCTGCAGTAAATAGAGAAGGTACAAATAGCTCCACTTAACAGATGCTACATAAAAGTATTGAACGCATTAATGCATCACTAATTAAAATCCAATACCATAATAAACAGGCAGGAACGACCCATTATGCATAATTAATACTTTCCCTCTGCATAGGATATAAAAAAAACTCCCTCCACACTGAATCTGACCTTTAACATCTCTCAGTGTGTGCCTCGTTACAGACTTTTAAAGAAAAGACAGTCGGTGTGATCGATACGTGGTGAGGAACCGGAGAGGTCGAATCGATATCTGCTGCCACGGAGAACTCCCCATGCATGTAATGAATATTTCTGCATCTGCTGGCAGCGAGGAAGAGGAAGGTGGAGCTGAGTGATGAAGCCTCGAGGCGTCCTGCTTTTATTTCCCCCGACGACGCTCTCATTTCCTCTCCAAACAGAAAGAACAGAAGCTCTGTCTTCACACTGAAATAAAAGCTGAAGATTAAACGGCTTCATCTGAGTCTCTCGGCTGGTTTCTGATTGTCTCTTCTGTTTGATCAGGTGTTTGCCGTCCAGCTGTAACACTTTAACAGTCCTCAGGAAAGAGAGTGTATGTCCATATTATATTTATGTCCATACACACACAGTTTTATATTGTTCCTGTGTCAGTAATAATGTGTCCTGGCGTCAAGTGAATATAAGAAATCAACAGCGGTGGAAGAAAACAAAGAACATTCACTGAAGTACATTTCGTATTTAACCAGAGTATTTGTAATGTTATGTTTTCCGCTACATTACAGATGTTAATAATGTACTTTTTACACTTTGACTACATGTATTTGATAGCTTTATTTACAAACGAAAACGACCTACGTCAGCTACACCAAGCACGCCATGTGAATCAACGACTCCTTCAACTGGAGGACGTCCAAGGACTTTTAAAGAAGCAGATTTCTGTCACCACGAGGTGGTCTGAACACTCTGAAGGAACCAAACAAACCAAGACATCTGTGGTGTGTTTATGTTTACAGACTGCAGGGAACGGGCCTGAACGCCGCCCAAAAACTCGTTAGGATCAAAAGCTGAAAAAGCATCCGAGTTTTGGCCTCACAGCTTCAGATTATGAATACAACATACTATGAATGATGATGTTACAGGTTACCATACAACGTAATTGATCCCAAGAGCAGAAGTAATACAACTTAGCTCTATATTTACCAACTGCTACAATAAAGATTAAATAATAAGTATAATAATACTTAAACTAACTGACTGAAATTCTCATACATGATGTAAAAACAATATAAAATGCAAGAAATAAAACCCCCAATTTAAAAACACATATTAACAAGTTGTATACATCGCCTGCAAAAGCACGGGAGAATCAGTGTGTCTTTAAACAAGATTTAAAAACAGGCAAAGTGCGAGCAAGTCTGATCGGGGGGGCAAATCGTCTCCCCGATGTTTCAACCTCGGGACCACATGAGGAATCTGTCAGCAGACTTCAGTGAGGTCATTAATGCTCCTCAAATATGAGTGAAATTGTTCATGTGCTGGGACACTCTAATGGCAAACATCTGATTGAATAAAAGAGTCTTCTGCGCAGAAACGTCTTGATTCCTGCTGGCTCCCCCCCTGCTGGCTCCAGCCTCACATGTGACTGATGTTTCAACCGTATTGATCTTCTGATCCAACTCAAACCCATGTTGAACTCCTTTTAACTTCCCAAACTAACCTCCAGTCGAAAAAAGGTCAGCATGAGGAGAGCCCGGCCTCCGACAGACGGATTAATGAGGTGAATATTGCTGTTTCACATTTCAGATGAAGGAGCAGCTGATAGATACTGACATTGTGTCCCAAAGCGGCCCATTAACTGCTGTCTGTCCTACTTCACTGTTTCTCTGATTGAACACA